TTGATCAAACACGCTCATAATGCAGGTGGATATTTTCAAACTCAGCTATCTGTAAAAATAAAAAATAATATTATTGAACTTTCATAGTATATTATATTAGAGTATTTACATAATAAGAATATAATTAATAGGACATAAGCCCAAAATACTAGTACTAAACCTTAAGGTAATGAAATTAATGCAGCATTAGCACCAAATTCTAACAGATATAAATGTTTGAAAAAATAGAAGAACAACTGTCTTAAATAGATTACAACTCATTTTTTTTTCCATTAACCATCATATTCTTCTAAATTAAAAACATAATGTACAAAATGTAATTATTGTTAATAAAAAATGTAATTTTGGCTCTAATTAATAATTTTGAATATGATGCATATGCTATTTTGGTTTGTCGAAATTGATTTATTGTTACACTGAAGGTGTGATATCTGTATTACTAACGCATAACATACCAAAATAAATATTCCAATAAATCCGTAGGTAGTAGTAGTTTTTTCATCTCTGACATATGTTTTATGTACAGCATATTTTATATAAAACTGAATGAATCCGATTATTTATAAAGATGACTAGGTATTTGTACTCCAGCTTTCGATTGATCTTCGGTTGTCTCATTAATTGATCACCCACGCTCATAATGCAGGTGGATATTTTCAAACTCAGCTATCTGTAAAAATAAAAAATTATATTATTGAACTTTCATAGTATATTATATTAGAATATTTACATAATAAGAAGATGATTAAAAGGACATAAGCCCAAAATACTAGTAATAAACTGATAGGTAAGGAAATTAATGCAGCATAAGCACCAAATTCTAACAGATATAAATGTTTAATTGAAAAAATAGAAGAACAAATGTCTTAAAAAGATTACAATTAAATATTTTTTACTCTGATCATATCTTTCTTAATTAAAAACATAATGTACAAAATGAAATTATTGTTAAAAAAAAATGTATTTTTGGCTCTTATTAATATTTTGAAAATGATGCATATGCTATTTTGGTTTGTCGAAATTGATTTATTGTTACACTGAAGGTGTGATATTTGTATTACTAACGCATAACATACCAAAATAAACATTTCAATGAATCCGTAGGTAGTAGTAGTTTTTTCATCTCTGACATATGTTTTATGTACAGCATATTTTATATAAAACTGAATGAATCCGATTATTTATAAAGATGACTAGGTATTTGTAGTCCAGCTATCGATTGATCTTCGGTTTTCTCATTAATTGATCAAACACGCTCATAATGCAGGTGGATATTTTCAAACTCAGCTATCTGTAAAAATAAAAAATAATATTATTGAACTTTCATAGTATATTATATTAGAGTATTTACATAATAAGAATATAATTAATAGGACATAAGCCCAAAATACTAGTACTAAACCTTAAGGTAATGAAATTAATGCAGCATTAGCACCAAATTCTAACAGATATAAATGTTTGAAAAAATAGAAGAACAACTGTCTTAAATAGATTACAACTCATTTTTTTTTCCATTAACCATCATATTCTTCTAAATTAAAAACATAATGTACAAAATGTAATTATTGTTAATAAAAAATGTAATTTTGGCTCTAATTAATAATTTTGAATATGATGCATATGCTATTTTGGTTTGTCGAAATTGATTTATTGTTACACTGAAGGTGTGATATCTGTATTACTAACGCATAACATACCAAAATAAATATTCCAATAAATCCGTAGGTAGTAGTAGTTTTTTCATCTCTGACATATGTTTTATGTACAGCATATTTTATATAAAACTGAATGAATCCGATTATTTATAAAGATGACTAGGTATTTGTAGTCCAGCTATCGATTGATCTTCGGTTTTCTCATTAATTGATCAAACACGCTCATAATGCAGGTGGATATTTTCAAACTCAGCTATCTGTAAAAATAAAAAATAATATTATTGCACTTTCATAGTATATTATATTAGAATATTTACATAATAAGAAGATGATTAAAAGGACATAAGCCCAAAATACTAGTAATAAACTGATAGGTAAGGAAATTAATGCAGCATAAGCACCAAATTCTAACAGATATAAATGTTTAATTGAAAAAATAGAAGAACAAATGTCTTTAATAGATTACAATTAAATTTTTTTTACTCTGATCTTATCTTTCTTAATTAAAAACATAATGTACAAAATTTAATTATTGTTAAAAAAAATGTATTTTTGGCTCTTATTAATATTTTGAAAATGATGCATATGCTATTTTGGTTTGTCGAAATTGATTTATTGTTACACTGAAGGTGTGATATCTGTATTACTAACGCATAACATACCAAAATAAATATTCCAATGAATCCGTTGGTAGTAGCAGTTCTTTCATCCTTGACATATGTTTTATGTACAGTATATTTTATTAAAAACTAAATGATTGCGATTATTTATAAAGATGACTACGTACACGTACTCCAAATAACGGATGATCTTCGGTTATCTCATTAATTGATCACTCTCACACATAATGCAGATGGGTATTTTCAATCTCAGCTATCTGTAAAAATAAAAAATAATATTATTGCACTTTAATAGTATATTCTATTAAAATATTTTCATATTAAAAAGATAACTAATAGGAGATAAGCCTAAAATACTAATACTTAACTATAAGGTAAGGAAATTAATGCAGCATAAGCACCAAATTCTAACATATATAAATGTTTAAATAAAAAAAATAGTAGAACAACTGTCTTAAATAGATAACAACTCATTTTTTTTTCCATTAACCATCATATTCTTCTAAATTAAAAACATAATGTACACAATGTAATTATTGTTAAAAAAAATGTATTTTTGGCTCTTATTTATAATTTTTAAAATGCTGCATATGCTATTTTGCTTTGTCTTAAATTATTTATTGCTACACTGTAGGTGTGATCTTTTTATTACTAATGCATAACATACCAAAATAAACATTCCAATGAATCCGTAGGTAATAGCAGTTTTTTTATCTCTGACATATGTTTTATGTACAGCATATTTTATGAAAAACTAAATGAATGCGATTTTTTATAAAGATGACTAAGTATTTGTACTCCAGCTATTGATTGATCTTCGGTTTTCTCATTAATTGATCACCCACACTCAAAATGCAGCTGGATATTTTCAAACTCAGCTATCTTTAAAAATAAAAAATTATATTTTTGAACTTTCATGGTATATTATATTAGAATATTTACATAATAAGAAGATAATTAATAGGACATAAGCCCAAAATACTAGTACTAAACTTATAGGTAAGGAAATTAATGCAGCATAAGCTCCAAATTCTAACAGATATAAATGTTTAATTGAAAAAATAGAAGAACAAATGTCTTAAATAGATTACAGTTAAATTTTTTTTACTCTGTTTATATTCTTCTAACTTAAAAACATAATGTACAAAATGTAATTATTGTTAAAAAGAAATGTATATTTGGCTCTAATTAATAATTTTTAAAAAGCTGCATATGCTATTTTGCTTCGTAGCCACTGATATACTGTTACACTGAAGGTGTGATCTTTGTATTACTAACGCATAACATACCAAAATAAACATTTCAATGAATCCGTAGGTACTATCAGTTTTTTCATCTCTGACATATGTTTTATGTACAGCATATTTTATATAAAACCGAATGAATCCGATTATTTATAAAGATGACTAGGTACTCGTATTCCAGCTATTGATTGATTTCGGTTTTCTCATTAATTGATCACCCACGCTCATAATGCAGGTGGATATTTTTAAGCTCAGCTATCTCTAAAAATAAAAATTAATATTATTGCACTTTCGTAGTATATTATATTAGATTATTTAAACTTCTGGGAAATTAAAATGTTTATTGTCACTGTCCCTTGTCATTGGTACACATCTAGTACACCATTTGAATATTGACTATTAATCTTAAAAAAAAAAAACTTTAACTGGTTTAGTTTTATGACGTTGGTCCAGTGTTGGTACGGTTATTTGGTTTGAGCCGATATCGTCCTGGGTTAATTCATGGTTTGACGTTGAGTAAGTTGTTTTTTATAGTTTACACTTAAGGAATATTCAACACAAAACAATTTGTTTCAAGAATTTTACTTATTTATTTAAACATCCCAAAACACCGTTATAAAAATAAAATAGAATTACATTAGTCTTCACGGAATCACTGGCTTTTTAGGACTGTCTAACAAATTGCATACATTTACCAGTGATTGGGTTGTAATAAGAATATCAAAAAAAATGTAAAATACATTATGCTTACTTGGCTAAAATATCTTATGTATAGTGTATTCTTAATACTACAGAAAAGTGTTCCCAACACCGGTAACTCCATTCTCATATAAATAGGAACAAAACGTGTAGTTTAAAAACAATACTAGAAAAATAATAAACAAGGATTTCTTAGTATAGAGTCGATACAATCGACGAATCGTGAGAAAATAAATAAAATTAACTTTGAACATTTTGATTTACGTGGATGCAATCATAATTCATAATATTCGATGCAAATAACATTTGAGATAAACCGATATCAATACTTTCGGTACGATACCGATACCGCGGGTACCGTCGGGTGCGGGAATTAGCTGGTATCACGGACATGTACCGTGGTTCTTCCACGGTGTCGTGTCCTTTCGCAGAGGACCAGATAACGCGGTGCGCTGATAACGGAAACGTCGAATCGGCGCGCACACACGAATACTCGATTAATCGATCGATACGTCTAAGCGAACCGTGGTAGGTACGTAGGAAGTAAACGAACGGTAACGCCGTCCGTCCCGACACTGTCTACCAACGACGCGTTTCTATTCCCACGGTCGGCTACACGCCGAAATCGCATCACAACATCGCGTCCGGTGAGGCAACTACTTTTTCTGTTCATTCTTGGGACGCCCCCCTTTAATACGACGACTTACCCTCAAAAGTTTTCCGTGCCGCCCGACCCGTAAACACCCTACTCCGGCAAGTATCCAGCAACTACAGACGTCGCCATGATCGGCGGTCTGTTCATGTATAACCACAAGGGCGAGGTGCTGATATCGCGAGTGTACCGCGACGACATCGGCCGCAACGCCGTGGACGCGTTCCGTGTGAACGTCATACACGCCCGCCAGCAGGTCCGCACGCCGGTCACCAACATTGCGCGCACTTCGTTCTTCCACATCCGCCGGGCCAACATCTGGCTGGCCGCAGTCACCAAGCAGAACGTCAACGGCGCCATGGTATTCGAGTTCCTCATTCGGTTCACGCAGGTCATGCAGTCGTACTTCGGCAAGATCAACGAGGAGAACATTAAAAACAATTTTGTGCTCATCTACGAGCTTCTTGACGAGATACTTGACTTTGGCTATCCGCAGAACTGCGACACGGGCGTGCTCAAGACTTTCATCACGCAGACGGGCGTCAAGTCCCAGAGCAAGGAGGAGCAGATGCAAATCACGTCCCAGGTCACTGGCCAGATCGGATGGCGGCGCGAGGGCATAAAGTACCGCCGTAACGAGCTATTCCTAGACGTGCTCGAGTATGTCAACCTGCTCATGTCACCTCAGGGACAGGTGTTGTCCGCGCATGTTGCAGGCCGCATACTCATGAAGTCCTACCTGAGCGGCATGCCCGAATGCAAGTTTGGTATCAACGATAAGATCATCATGGAGTCCAAGGGCACCAAAATCCTTGATGACACGGGCTCGAGAACTGCCTCTGGCAAACCAGTTGTTGTCATCGACGACTGTCAGTTTCATCAGTGTGTAAAACTTTCTAAATTTGAAACCGAACATTCCATAAGCTTCATTCCTCCCGACGGTGAATTTGAGTTAATGCGTTACCGTACTACTAAAGATATATCATTGCCGTTCAGGGTTATACCGTTGGTGAGAGAAGTGGGGCGTACTCGTATGGAAGTAAAAGCTGTATTGAAGTCTAATTTCAAACCCTCCTTGTTAGGACAAAAAATAGAAGTCAAGATTCCCACCCCCTTGAATACTGCCGGTGTTCAATTATTATGTCTAAAAGGTAAAGCCAAATACAAGGCTTCAGATAACGCAATTGTGTGGAAAATTAAGAGGATGGCAGGCATGAAAGAAACACAGCTCTCAGCTGAAATTGATCTTTTAGAGACTGACACTAAGAAAAAATGGACAAGACCCCCAATTTCTATGAATTTTGAGGTACCATTTGCTCCTTCTGGATTCAAAGTCAGATATTTAAAAGTTTTCGAGCCAAAGTTGAATTATTCTGACCACGATGTTGTCAAATGGGTTCGTTACATTGGGCGAAGTGGATTGTATGAAACTAGGTGTTAAGCAAACAAAACATTTATAGTATGTATTTTAATCATTTCCCAATATTCTGGTCCAACATTTTTGACTTACTAAATAATATAAAATATAATATTTATTGTATCATATTATTTTATTTTTAATTTATAATCCATTCAGTATGTATGGTATGATTAAATATATTTATTGTTATTTAGGCTAGTCATATTTTTATGTTCATTTTATATACAAAATAAATAATATTTACATTTTAATTGAATTGATAAAAATATTGGCCGATATGAATTGTATTATTGCTATTCACCCACGTAGTTAATTTATTATTTTATAATTTATTTTTTCTATTTGCTTTGATCTGCGCATAATTTGTCTAGGTATTTTATTTGTAATGCTACAAATAAGTTTAAACGTATATTACCATAGGTAAATAATTATTGAACATGTAACAGATCATTACTTTAATGTAATAATAATGATTATATTTAGTACTTTATTTTAATATTATATTAAATTATAACAGAAACATTGTGTTATTATTTCTATAGATATTCTACTACTATTGTTAAGCAGTTGATATGTTAAGGAAGTTTAATTTGTTTGTATTAGTATTGCTGGTAGGCTACAATACGTTTAAGTAAACAGGAAACATTATTTTGTTGTCCCTTCATAATATGAAATAAATTGGTTTAATAGACTATATTATTATTCCTTATATTATATAGTTAATTAAATATGAAATTTAAACTTTATAGAATTGAATTATTTTTCTTATGTGCCTAGATGAAGATTGTATTATTTTGAAAATAAACTGATTAATCATAAATACTATTTAACATATTATATGTAATGTATTGATTTTATCAAAAATGAATAATATAACATTCAAAAATTACGTTTGGTTATTTTTTAGTAGATTGTATTATTTTGAAAATAAACTGATTAATCATAAATACTATTTAACATATTACATGTAATGTATTGATTTTATCAAAAATGAATAATATAACATTCAAAAATTACGTTTGGTTATTTTTTAGTTAAGAATTATGGGTAGATTATTGGTAATTATTAATTACTATGAGTGAAGTGGCGGCAATATACACTTAAATACATTTTGATTTTAATATCTTATACATTTTTAATGATTTGAGTGAAATTTCAATATTATCATGTATTTCCTATTAACTGGAGTAAATAATAGAAAGTCATACCTAAGAGAAAACATTTTAGACAATTTATCTTATACAATAATTGCAAAATGTGATAAATCAGTGAATGTTTAAGCAAAAATATTTGAAGTGCCTTATAGCAACTATAAAATAATGTAAATTATAATACAAGTATCTAACAATACGGTCGAATAAATAATAATTTTAATAGAAGTATCTTTTTAGAAGAATACAATATTTTTAATCAATACTAATAAGAAAATTACATTCATAGAATTTTCATGAATCATGTTAAGTACATTTTCTGGTTTTTCAACTTACATAATATATTTTATTAAAATAATTTTATTATCGTTAATATAACCTAAATGATCATAAAAGAGAGCTATAATATGCCGGCTGCATACGAATTGTGTCCCCGATATAAAAATTGCGATTTGTGACATACTAATTGCGTCCCGGGTTTTCATACCATTAGTTTTTTTTTATTAATTGACAAAAATGTAGAAACTTACAATAAAGCATTTTTTCATCTAAATTCAGAATGTATAAAAAATAATATTAATTTTTTACCGAAAATGTTATTTGCTGATTTCGAAAAAGCAATTCACTCGGCTGCATTATTTGTTTGGCCATCTGTCGAATTAAAAGGATGCCGATTCTATTTAGGCCAGAGTTGGTGGAGAAAAATTCAAGCTCCAGGTTTGAGTAATGAATATAATCTAAATTCAGAAATAAGCAATTACCTAAAAACATTTTTTGATCTCCCTTTTTTGAAACCTGAAGATGTAGAAAACTGTTTTACCGATGATATAGTATCGATTTTACCACAGAATAAAATAGTAGAAACATTTACAGATTATATTTTAAACACATATATAACCCCCGATTGTGACTATCCTCTTTCTTTAAGGGCAATGTATTCGGGATCAATATCAAGGACAACAAATAGCTGTGAAGCTTTCCATTCAAAGTTGAACGGTATGTTTTATTCTGCTCATCCAAATATCTATAAATTTATTGATGTACTTAAAAATGTACAAAAAGATACTTACATAAAAATTCGCAGCAGTAGTCACAGAAAAAAAAATAAGACGTGAAATATGTGAAAAACAAGAATTTTTAAGAAATCAAATGATGAAACAGGACGTTAACGAAATTACACGTTTTGATTATGTTAAAACCGAATCGTTCAAATTTTTACCGAGCCATAAATAATATTACAATAACATGTGATAACTATAACCTTATAACCTAACTTATATTTTTTGAAATTATTTTTATTATTATTCATTTTATTAATTATTATTTTATATTTGACGACGAAAACAATATTTTTGATGTACATAATTACGAAACGATAGAAAACAATATTTTTAACCTACCTTTAGCAATATAATATTTAATGTTGCTATTGACAGTCCTAAGTCTGTATTAAATGGGAAGAAAAATAATGTATTTATATCGGACACAATTAGTATAGTTTTTAAATATTATCGGGACGCAATTTGTATGAAAAAGGGATCTTGGGACGCAATTCGTTTGCTGCGAATATGCCATATAAAAAAGATAAAAAATAAGCTTTTTAACAATTTAAAAAAAAAACATATTTATTAAAATAAGTATAATATAAAAATAATAATAATTTATTAAATTATTCTTATTTGATAAAAATTGATGGCACAAAATATTGACTATTTATGAAAATATTTTATGAATAATTGATAATTTAGAAATTGGATAATAATTATTAATTAAAGATTTTTTGCCTTTTTTTTTTAAATGGAGTTACAAATGAAGATTTCCATTGATTTGGGAAAATACCTGAGGATAAAGATTTGTTAAAGATATAAGTAATTATTGGAGTAAGAATAAATACACATTTATTTAAGAATATTGGGGAAATTACATCAGGGCCGTTTGTTGTTTTATAAGAAATATAAAAAATTCATTAAAAATATTGGTTTGTTTTATATCAATTTTACTAATAGGATTCACATTATTTTTGTCAAAAATAATTTGAGGGCAAACTGTGTTGGCTGAGGTGTATTAGAGTAAAATGAGTTTATAATGATATTAGAGTTTATATGGTAGAAACAACCCTGAATATGTACAAGAATATGTGTGATAGCTGTGTACACTGCACGTCCAAAATCAACATTTCCTATCACAGGATCAGGATATAAATGTTGGTCTTCACATTTTTTTTAAAGTGCAGTGAACATTCGCTTATAAGTTGTCAATGTTTATTCTGTAAGAGAATATATACTGCTATTGTAAAACTTCTATTAATTTATAAATTTATAACATACGGTTGAGTACAAAGTTTTGGAGCCAAAGCAAAGTTTCTCTAACTCAACCCTAAACCGTGCTTATACATAACAAAAACTTTTTGAGGTACCTACTGCTACTGAGTGGGCAATCCATCAACTAAGAATTTTCCAGAGGCAAATTACAAATATCCCAAGTCCTAATGCATAATAATGTATCAATATAATATAACTAATTATATTTCAGATCGTTATTGACTACCTATTGAGTATATCATATTACATTCACTAGGGGACCCACCGGCTACCACCCACCCCTCTATTTAAAAAAAATCTCAGAGGAAATTGCCTCTGAAATTACCGTTCACTGTGTTTACCAAATTGTTTAAAAGTTTATGGACAAAATGGTGTATTTTATATAGGTCAGAAATTATGTTTAACTTTTAATATTAATATGAATAATTTTAGAAATTTATTATATTCTTAAGAACTGCTCCCCCAGCACAAGCTTTGCTTACTGAGGGTGCTGCAATGGGTATTGTATTTTAGTTTGTATAATTTTATGTAAAATCTGTGATGTTGTAAAAAAATAAATTATTGTTATTATTATTATTATTATTATTATTATTATAATTATTAACATTAATTTGGGATTTCAAACATATTCAATTACTTTTCACAAACACACAATTCAAAACTTAATAGGTTCAAGATAAAATAATTGCCTATATAAAACTCCTTTATTTTATTGATGGCCTCCACTCCAGAATTTTTTTTTTACAGATGTAAACATAATATTACACAATTTCTTTTAAAGGGACAGGGACCTAATGTTAAACATTTTAATAAATACATGGTATACCACAAACTTGAAACTATTAAATAAATGTATAGGCATTAAATAGGTACCAAACAACTTAGTAATTGGAAAATGCAAAAATATTGATAAATTGTAATCAGAAATAGGTATTCATATTTTAAACAACTAACAAGGCATTAGTATAAGTATATTTATTGTATGGCATAATATTATGTAATAATTGTACATACCTATAAATTAAAATAGTGAAAATATAGTTATTTAGCACAGAGTATTACCTATGATTATAATGTTATAGTGTTATACCTACTCAGTACTCATTGTAGGAGTCATTGGGATAGGGATTCTAGACTATACAATATATTAAATATATCATTAAAATATATTAGAATTATTTAGTTTGTTTAATTCCAATTTTGATACTAAATTATTAACATATGTAACTAATTTATGTAAAAAACAAAAGCATGATGTATATTTTATAAACTCACAAAAAAGTTAATATTAATTGAATTTTAATAAATTGTTACCTGAACAATTTTATTGACAATTGTTTAATAATCACACTTGTCAATTTTAGTTAAATCTGTAAATGCTACTTGATTATTATCAATATTTTTGTCATTAATTCTTTTATTAAATACCTATCTACTTAATAAAAGTCTAATCTGATGCAAATATAAAAAATAGTGATATTATTGACTTTACACCATATTATATTTTAGTCAGTTTTTTAAAAACAGTAAAAACAATAAAAAATAAAAA